GAAAATTGGGCGGTTTTCGAAAATTGACTTTTTTTTCTTTTTTTTAGAAGCAGTACATCACAGGAAAAAGCTCAGAATTTTTAACTAAAAACTCAATCCAAAAAATTTTAAACACACATATTCTTGATCAGCTCGTCAAGCTCTATCTAACCATATATAAAAAAACGAAAAAAAATCTGCTTTAATTTTGCATCTCCGGAACCTTACATTCAAGCTGACTCATAGAACAAACAAAGAAGAATTTATAACTGAGTGATCCATACCTCAACATATATAGAAAAAGCTTGCATAATCCATTCATTCATCATCATCATATTTCCTTCTTTTATGGCCTTAGTTTTATCGAAAAGTGATTGGTAATTCCTAGCAAATTCAATGAGTCATCGTCCATCATCATAGCTAGAGAAATCTGTGCATGATATAGTCATCCGATGAAATGATCACAGCTTGGATTCACTTTTCAATGCTGTTTGTGAGATTCGATACTACCTACCTAGTTATCCAGAAAAGCTTTTTCTACTTTATCTCATTTGGTCGCTTCAACTAAGCTTCCGATTGTGATAGGTCATCGGTGTGTCATAATTTTCATTTTGAGAGCCATTCAAAGACTCTCCCTGTCAGATTTATGATGATGTTCGGAGGCATTGAAGACGTGCGAATTGCAATATAGAAATGCAGAATAAAAGTCATTTTCTCACTACATCTGACATCATCTTCGAAACATACTTCTAGGAAACCATTGATATGACATCCAGAATAGAATTTCGGTTCATACACATTGGTCTCGTCGATCGTCGTCCCCACTCAGTATTCGATCGTTAATAAATGATTTTGATATTTTTTTGTGATTCTCAGGCGACCTCATCGTTCGAAGACTTTTCTAAAGTGGATACTATTTTACTTGTCTAATAGATAGACTGTGATAATTTCATTTTCAGTATCGAGCGAGCCACCACCAAACAAAGATTAATGTATCTTCAAGCTAAACTATTGCACGAAGTCGGACTGTTTTTGAGATATGCTAATTGATATCTTAAGCTGAAAAATGTGTCTAATTCTTTCTAAAAAAAACAGAGTGCTACTGCATGAGAGTATGTCGAAATCTATCCTTTAGTTCCCAGTAAGAAAGAATCAACTTTTTCTATATATCATTCGATTGACGATAGTAAATTTTGTTTAGTTTTTTTTTACCGTAGTTCTCTCTCTGTAAAGCCTGCTAATATTTCGAACTAAAAAAGGCTTGTTAACGCAGCCCGTTTGGGGCTGAAATGTGGAACTCACATACTTCTTTACTTTCACTGTACTGATGGCAAAATATATAATGTTTAAAATCTCTCAAAGACGATAATTCTTTTCTAATGATAATTGATTGTCAGCAAATGTTGTCTTTTCTTATTTATATACTTCGAGTAGAATTTTTTTTTGTGAAATTGCTATGGTCTGTAATGGAGGGTTGTCTGTAAGGGGGGCTGTCTGCAATGCTCTCTTTCGTTGCTATGGTCTGTAAGGGAGACCTGCCTGTAAGGGGAGGTGGAGGAGTGGGGAAGCCGCGAAACCTCGAACTTAAAACTTACACTCACTATTTTCTTCGAAAATATATGTGAGTTCCACAAAATTATAATTGTGTTAAAGCAACTACTCGCAAGCTATCGAATGAGACTTGGACGGGTTCGATCAGTTTGTTATATCATCATTTTTCAAAAAAAGTTGAACATACTCAGGGAGAGTTAAAAAGCAATTTTTTAAACTACTTTTTCTCTCGATAATAAAAGCTTCTTGCATGCATAACCTTTCGATTTCAAAGTTTTAAGTCGAGATATATCGAAAGTTTTATTAGGATAGAGAACTCAATCGAACGAGTGGCAATCACTATCATATCGAGAACGATGAAACTTGACCTCTGATCTGCTTTCTTGGTCGGCATTTTTGCGAAGATTGTCTTAACGATGACTCACTCCGTTCGTTCTGTCTCGTTGAGTTCTTCATTGTACTTTTCCTTTCGAAAGAAAAAAGCTTTCAACATCTTAATCACTGTTGAATCGAAATGTGAATAGTAGATGGGAATAGTATTGCTCACTGTTCTCGCTATCTATCTATATGTATATGGCAACGACACTAATATTTAAGCGTGTTTTTGGAAAGTTTTGCATAGTGCAAACAGAGAAGTTGGCAATATTTTACAACAGAATGTTTGTCATGAATGTTTGCAACGACTTTGACAACGAATATGCTCTCTTTCTCTAGTAAAGAGAACGATCGATGATGATAATGACATATATGAATAGTCCACAGCCATTATCATTCTAAGACAGTAATGTCATCATCATCGTCACTCACTATTTTAAATCAACAATTGCACTCAAATGGCATTGCAAAACGTGATCGTCTGTCGTAGTGATTCACGCGAAATTGTTCAAAGTTTTCTTTTGATTTGGCTTGACGCAAAAAATGATGAAACCTCCGACGACTACTGTAATTCAATCAGACACCTGCGATGCATTGTCAACACTATTGAAACTTTTCAAAATACGGAAGAATGTGTTGATTACATTTCGAAACTTCAAAGCGAAAAGGCATTCCTAATTATTTCCGGTGCTCTGTGTGAAACTGTTGTGCCACGAATTCATCGCATGACTCAACTCTATTCAATTTATATATTTTGTCGGAAACAATCAAAGTATGAAGAATGGGCGAAAAACTGGTCCAAAGTGAAAGGTATTTTCACAGATATTATCCCGATTTGTGAGATAGTTCGAAAATCTGCTCGACAATGTGATGAAGATTCAGTCGTGATTAGTGCTGTATCGTCATTGAATCATATAGAACCATCGTTTATGTATACACAACTCTTCAAAGAGATTATTCTTAAAATTAATTTCGATGAAAAGAAAGAAATCGATGCTCTAACCGAATATGCACGTAAGATATATGCCGGCAATGACGAACACTTGACGATGATCGACGAATTCGCCCGAGAATATCAAGGTAATTTGGATGAGATTAATAAGCCCATCTGGTGGTATACTCGGGAATGTTTCACGTACCACATGCTTAACAAAGCACTGGGTACTCTACAAATCGAGACCCTACTTAAAATGGGCATCTTCATTCGAGACCTTCATCAAAACATTGCGAAGCTCCATTCTGAGCAAATGAATGATATGCCTGATGACCCAACACCAATTACAGTATATCGAGGAAAAACTATGACTAAACAAGATTTTGATAGTAAAATTAAACAAGATGGACTCATGTCGTTCAATAATTTCTTATCAACAAGTGATGACCCAAAGGTGGCCATTGGTTTTATTAAGGAAGGGCTCACGTGTAACAGTAACAAAATTGGTGTTCTCTTCGAAATGACAATTAATCGATCGATTTCATCGGCTCTGTTCGCTCGCATCGACAAAATTAGTTACTTTCAGACAGAAAAGGAAGTTCTCTTTTCAATGCACACGGTTTTTCGTGTCCATCAAATCAATGAAATCGACGATGGCGAAATGACACTGCGGCAAGTGTCACTTACACTTACTAGTGACAGTGACGATCAGCAACTCAATGCTCTTACCAAACGAATGCGAGAGGAGATAACTGGGACAGGGTGGCAACGAATGGGCTTGTTATTACGTAAACTCCGTGAGAATGACAAGGCGGAACAAGTGTACACAATGCTAATCGAACAAGCATCCAATGAGTGTGATAAAGCTTATTGTTATAACCAACTTGGGCTGATCAAGGATGAACAAGGAGAATACACAAAGGCGGTCGAATTTTACGAAAAATCACTTGATATTCACGAAAAGACGCTCCCTCCGAACCATCCCTCCTTGGCTACTTCATATGCCAACATCGGTGCGGTACATGATAACATGGGCGAATATTCGAAAGCACTTTCATTTTACGAAAAAGTTCTTGAGATCAGCCAAAAAGCTTCCCCTTCGAACCATCTCTCCTTGGCTACTTCCTACAACAACATCGGTATGGTATATAAAAACATAGGCGTGTACTCGAAAGCACTTTCATTTCTCGAAAAATCTCTCTATATCTTCGAAAAAACTCTCCCTACGAATCATCCTTCCTTGGCTACTTCCTACAACAACATGGGTTTGGTGTATGATCACATGGGAGAGTACTCGAAAGCATTTTCATTTCTTGAAAAATCACTCAATATCTTGCAAAAGTCTCTCTCTCCANCTTGAGACCTTCTTTCGTCATTTAAAGTATAAATACTTTAAAAAGCTTCATTAGAAAATTATGTAGTGTCGATAGACAGAAAAAGTATTGAAATCTGATGGAAAAATGTTGAGTAGGTTCGCTCGTTTTTCCAACTAGATCTTCACGCGCTCTATCCATCCCGGCTATGCTCTCCACATTAAAATGTTCCTAAGATCCGGTAACCCCTAAAACTGCAAAAAAAAATGGCCTAAAACACCATGGAATTCCGTAGAAACCGTCGCGATTCGCTCAGAACAGCTTTCCAACGTAGTGACAGACCTCTTCAGATAGATCTCGATGAGATCTACTTAGGAAGTCGCATGGCTATGCTGGAAAAGACTTCTGGGCCAATCGCGACGGGTTTACCGCGTAAAACCTAGGATACCGGCCCGGAATGGGCCGGTTTCTTCGCGAGCCAAGCATCGATTGGAACTGAAAGGTGTCCATCCGATAGAACTCGATATGATCTACTTCGAAAGTTGCATGGCTACGTTAGAAAAATGTTGTGAGCGAATCGCGACGACTTTTCCGGCTAAAGCCTAGGATACCGAACCTGGATTCGCCGGTTTCTTCTCGAATCGAGCGTCGATTAGAACTGAAAAGGTGTCCATTCGATAGAGCTCATCGAGATCTATCTGGAATGGTCTATCAGTACGTTGAAAAATTGTTGTGGGGAATCGCGACGGAGTTTCCGGTAAAACCTAGGATTCGGGCCCGGGTTTGACTGGTTTGTGGGGAGCCGAACATGCATTCGAGCTCAAAAGGTATCCATTTGATAGAGCTCGATGAGATCTACTTGGAAAGTTGCAGGGCTACGCTGAAAAGTTGTCCTAAGCGAATCGCGATGGGTTCTACAAAATTCTATGGTATTTTAGGGCATTTTTTTTGCAGTTTTTAGGGGTTACCGGGTCTCACGACCATTTTCATGTGAAGAGCATAGTCGGGATGGATAGAGCGCGTGAAGATCTACTTGAAAAGTTATTTGGGGCGAATCCATTCAGAAGAAACTCGAATCCTGACCTAAAGTATCCTACGTCAAAAAAAACAATTGTTTCTTGAACTGATTTCTTACAGGTTGACAGGCCTTGTTCGGTAACTACTAATTCAATAGATAATGCGGCCACGGATGTGTTGCAAGGATGAGTGGGGGACTAGATAGCAGTGGGTGAAAAGAAGGTCTTCACGAAAGCCTAGCACACCGACACTATCTACTGTAACAATTATTGCACTCCAATCAATAAAAGAATGTTACCAAGGATTTTGGAAGCCTCATGACTTTATTATCATTGTCAATATGAATTAAAATGAGATTGAGATTTGTGACAGCCTCTTACAACGGTTCACACGTTCTATACTTTATAGCAGGGGTCTCATAGCCCAAATTAGCATCCATAGAGAATAAATGAATAAAGATTCACAGTCTAACACACCATCGTTTTGCAAAATTTCAACAGTTTTATCATCATTCACTGCAATGAAGTGGTGCCACCTAGGGGGGAAAAGCGTATTTCTGTATTTCCGTATTTCTATGTATTTCTACGTATTTTTATGTATTTCCAGGTATTTCTAAGTATTTCTAAGTACTTCCAGGTATTTCTGAAATAGGGAAATACTTAGAAATACGCTTTTTCCCCCTTGGCGGGCTGGCACATGTTTCAGTAGAAACATTTTAAAATACTTTTACATTTCATGTGCACACGATTTCCACTAACTGTTATTTTTTCTGTTGCTTTTCAGTTTTTATACGAAGTCGCTCGTTCTATATCCAAGCAACAATTAATTGACGATCAAGGTAATAAAAAATACCACTTTCTTTTTCTCTCGCCAAGAATGTGATTTGCTGTTATATGTAAAATTGTCAATACGCGACTCGTTCGTAACATTGTGGATGATTTTTTTTCTGTTTCTGTGTCTTAAGATCGACTAATTTCTTCCTGGCATCTTTTCTTTCCATGGCCACATACAATGAAATTGGAGAACATAAAAACTGAAGGCCTGTTTCTTTTTTTCTTTTCTATGCACTCGTAAATCAAAGTAGAGTGCACAGACAAACACGGTGTATTGCATCTATTCTCAAGTATCATTCTTAATCATTCTAAGGTAATATTACAATGTACTATAATAATCATTTATGTTATAAATTAGTATCATTTATTGTTTTGTTAGAAACATGACAACAGGACTACAGCCAAATCGATGTTCCGTATGCGATAAGACTGCGGCAAAGTGTAACTGTGCGGGATGTAAGTCATACTTTTGTGTCAAACATTTTAATGAACATCGCCAGCAACTATCGACGAAGTTTGATGTTGATGTAACGAAAGTTCAAGAAGAATTAGAGGTCGTTCACATGTTATGTCATTACATGTGATTTTGTAAGTTTTCTATTTCAATTAATGTAAGATGCAAAAATCATTGCCGCAATATGATTTTCTATTCATGAAAATGGCAGACAGAAATTTTGCTTATTTTTTAAACGAATCGTGTTTGAGCTACAAATTTTATGTGAAACATTTTGCTTCAGAACTCATCTAAGATGAAGAAAAAGTTAAAAAAGAAATGTTTCTAAAATAGTTTCCGCAACAATTTTTGAACTTGAAAAGGGTAGACTGGTGAATTGTTTTACGTTACATGCACCAACTTCTTACAAAAAAAAAAATACTAAAATATAACAAATTAAGAGTTCTGTTATTATCACTTTTGTTGACTTATTCTAGCTTTGTTCTTGACTCCCTATTAAAAAAGATCCCAAAATGAAGTTTTTGTACAATTACTATGTATACTCTACTATAAAGTATCACTTTCCAAAGTCATCAATCACAGTTTTTAGAAATTTCGCATGGACTCCCTTCATTTTGTGTTCGTTCTTTTTTTATATATGCCACATCATGGAAACTTAATGGAAAAAATAATCAAAAAAACATTTTTCATTGCTGCAAAATGGTTACAAAATTAGTTAATATGACTAATTTATCTAGTCGCTCTCATAAACAGTAATATTTCGGTATGACAATCAAGAGAAAATCTTAATTCAAATACACCAAAAAAAACAACACTTTTCATGTTACACAAATTATTATAAAAATTGACTTATTTCCGTTTGTTTTCTGATAGTTACAACAACATTAAAAGAAAAAAAATATTATGATTCGATAATTAAGTTTCAATTCGTTCTGCTTAGATTCATTCTAGAAAAATATGTTCGATATAAAATTTACAGTTGTTTCTAAAAATTTGCAAACTAACTCTCTACATTGTTTCTGAGCGCAGTATCATCATTGAAGATTTCGGTATGACTTTTGCATTGCGTAGTATATTTCAAATTTTAGCTGATATCATTACGTCGATTAATCACCTCCTCTCCCTCTTAGTGATGTTGTAATAGGCAGATGACTTCTTACTCAAACAAATCAATAAAGTCGATCAACCGATAACTCCTTCACCTGAACTTTTATCTCAAATTGATCGATGGGAGAATGACACAATCGACAATGTACAGAAGACAGCTAAAAAAATTCGTTATCAACTTACTGAACTACTTAATCGAGATAGAAATCAATTAATAAATCAGTTTGAAATATTAACACAAGAAATAACAACTCTCAAAGAAGAAGATGATTTTGCTGAAGATGATATTGAACAACTTCGAAAGACTATCAATCAAATACAATTATCATTAGAACAACTTAATTTACCGGAGAAAGGCAAATTTATTATAGTAGAAAATAATGAAATCGATTGGAATAATCTAATTAGTGTTGAAGAAAAACAAAAACTATGTGAGTTAATGTGAATAAACCTCTGATCAAAAATAAATAATAAACAGATAAAAGGGGACCTTTCTTTATTTGGATTGTTGAGTCTTTTAAAGATAGGTTTTAAATTATAACTTTAATCTTATTCAATATTGAATGTGTTACTCTACAAAACTGTCGACTTCGTTTTTTGAAGAAAACGTTTTTGTTCATGAAAATATCATATGATTCACAGTTACTTAACTGTCGAACGGTTAGTTCCTGTTTTTGTTTTGAAAGTATTTTTTGATTTGTATAAATCCATGCTCATCAAGTTGAATTCTAAAATTAAACTAACTCGCACTACAAAGCTAGAGAAATTTATAGGTTATGCTTGTATTACTTTTGCCATGTTCTCACTCTTATTGTTTACAAAAAAATGGAGGCTGAAAACTAAATCGTATCGACTTTTTGTTTGGATGCATTATAGAAAGTTTTGATTTTTCAAATCCGAATTTGATGAGTAACTCATTTATTAGTATCTTATTGATTTTTGATTTAATTCTGAACAAAACGGTGTGATGTTCAGTTTGAGCGATTTTATTAATATTAATAGAGCTGCATACTGAAAGTCTGCCAAAGAAAGCTATTTTTACTACATTTTTGCTTGCAAATATCTCTTCACAGGCTTTTAATACAACTTGACAAGGTGTAAGATTTTATGAGGAATACTCTTGCATAGTTGAAGTACTAGTAAATTTATTATTGGAAAAATGTCAAAGATTTTATTTTTTTTTGCAGTTTTAGAGTATCGTAGTCGAACGGTTAAGTAGTTCTGCATTGTTTGAATGTTATGTCAGCACAATAATTACCTTGGAAAAGCATAGGCGACAGTTTTGTAGAGCAGCACATTCTGTGTCAAATAAGCTCAAAGATGGCTTTGAAACCCATCTTTATAAAAGATAATTCATTATTCCTTCCAAAAACGTTCTTTTAAAATTGTTTCTATTCGAAATAATAATCGAATTATTTTGATTATTTAGCAAGCACATTCGTTTTTTTTAAATCAACTTTTGTCTTATTTGAGAATGTACAAAAGACCACGAAAAAAATTGAAAATCTCATTTAATAAATTGGCAGCACTTTTAAAGTTCTATCATATAGGATATGCATATTTTTTATACATCCTTTCTTGCCAAGAAGTTTTCCACCTTTCTAATGAATTTTTAAAAGTTCAAGTTTCGGTTAAAATTATCTCTCGTAGAATTGAAGTACAGACAAAAACTCAAGCAATAATTTAAAAAATTAAATCTAAATGGCCACTTCGAAAGTACCAATTTTGACAAAGAATAATATATAGAGTTACTTCCTATTTAAGATTCTTCATATTAGTAAAATATGAAGGTAGATATCATATCTCTTATTATAAGACTTGATTAACAGTTTCACTTAAATTTTTTTGTTTGGTTTTAGTACCACTCTATTCAATGAATATAAATGCTAATGCTAGATGGATACCAAATGGTCATACTGTAGCTGGTGGAAATGGAACCGGTAATGGATTTAATCAACTCGGACGACCATCCAGTTTGTGTATTGACCATGATCAATCTGTTTATGTTGCTGATTTTGATAATCATCGTATTGTTAAATGGAAAAAAGGAGCAACGAAAGGTAATGTAGTTGCCGGTGGAAACGCTGAAGGATTTCGAACTGATCAGTTGTATTCACCAACTGATCTGATCATTGACAATGAAAGAGACAGTATCATTATTTGTGATTATAATAATTTACGAGTAGTTCGATGGCCACGTCAAAATGGTAAACAAGGAGAAGTAATTGTTTCGGGCGTTCGCTGCGTCGGCTTGACCATGGATAGCAATGGATCTCTCTACATTGCTGATAATAAAAAGCATGAAGTAGTACGATATCGAGCAGGTGAACGTTGTGGAACAGTAGTGGCAGGTGGCAATGGATGTGGAGATCGACTTGATCAACTGCAATGTCCTCGATGGTTATTCGTCGATCAAGATCATTCAGTGTATGTATCGGACAATGAAAATCATCGTGTAATAAAGTGGATAGAAGGTTCAAAAGAAGGTATTATTGTAGCTGGTGGTCACGGTCATGGAAATAGTCCTACACAATTATCTCATCCGTGTGGGATCGTTGTTGATCAATCGGGTACTCTGTATGTGGCGGATAGTTGGAATAATCGAATAATGCGTTGGTTAAAAGGAGCCACAGAAGGAAGTGTCGTTATTGGTGGGAATGGTCGAGGAGAACAACCGAATCAACTCCATCAACCAACAGGTTTATCATTTGATCGACAAGGTAATCTCTATGTCGTCGATCAATGCAATAATCGAGTACAAAAATTCAATATCGATCCGAGTTCGTGTTCTTAATTATTGATCTTCGATCAAAGAATAATTGAACTTTTTTCTGTTTTATTTTGTCTTCTAGTTATTTTATTGATTGAATAAACTATTTGTTTCCAAATCCTATGTCCAGAAGGATAGGCGGTGAGCGAAGAGAAGACACACACATAGGAATACTGAAATATGAAGATTACTAATAAGACATACCACCTGTATGAACTATTAACAATATAAGTGTATAGTCAGATAGAGTTCACCTAATTCTACTTGAAGTAAGAATATGAATCTTGGAATAATGTCCTGCAAGAATCCTAGACGGACATACTGAAATGTATAACTGAGTGCTATAGTAGCTCTCTAATATATCAAAATTTTTGGAACCGAATTGTGAGCTAGGGAAAATTTCACGACACCATTAGATAAGAGCTCATCAGTTTTTATTTGGAACAACAATATGAGTTGGAAAACACGCTCAAGAGTGAATCCTGTAGGAAAATACTCCAATGCAAACCTAACTTCACATGTGTCAGATATGTAGAAATTTTACTTATCAAGATTCATAGAATTTTCGATGTCAATGAGTGTCGCTTGATACTTTTTTTTTCATAAAGTAGTAACTAGAATAGTATGGAGCTAATATACACTAAAACATAGTGGTTATTATACTTGATTAAATAAAAAATGATTAGCCTTTGCAAAACTATCGTCTAGATAAATGATAAAATAATTCTTCTTATTAGGCGTCAGCAAATAGAAGAAAGCGACGTTCATAACTTTCACTAAAACAAAGAAAACATACAAAATTTTGTTGTGATTTTGAAATTCTGAGTGTGCTCTGATATTTCAGCCAGAAACATCGAAAAGTCTGTTGAGAACATTACAAATGTGGATCATGTTTAGTAAACCGTTCCGATAGTTTGAAGATGAGAATATCCCTGATTTTTCAAAATTTAAAGTAAGCCAGAAATGATAGCGAGCTAATCAGCATAAGAAAATAATATCTAAGCCACATAACAGTGGATGGGACATATTGACAGGTTTTTCAACAAATTCTCACGTTTTAGGGCTGAAAATTTCAAAAAATTAGCTGCATCGTTGATTTTGGTCAATGGGATTTTTTTTTCAGAACTCTTGAATTGTTGTTTAGCTCAATAGCGACACGTCACAACAGTTTTCTGTAGGTTTTTTTTCTTTTGAATATGAAGTATGAATACATCTTTATCAGTGGCGAAAAAATCAGTTCATTTGGTTGAAACATGGCGACGATATTCAATTTATTCTTGGTGAAATTACTTTTAGACAACTCTGTAATTTCTATTTTTTTGCATATGACCCATTGCAATATATTTTTTATTTTAGCTAGTAGTTTTGATAGTAATAGTCTCTACTACAACACCGGTATTTTCTGTTTAAATCTCAATTGTCAACAGCATACTATTATTATGACTTGAAACGTAATAGATAGTGATATTAGAAGGATTCTGTCTCTCATAGGAACTTTATTTTCTTACAATCGTTGTAAAGCTCGACCATTACAAATAAATTTAACTTTCGTGTTAATTCGACAAATCATCAAAACAATAAACATGAAGTGTGTGATGTTACCATTTTCAAATTAGATACTTGATAATCAGTGCAATACGTTTAATTTAGAATGTAGCATGCTTTTCATTGTTTTACATGTTTATTTAATTCTCAATCTTTTGAAGTAATTAACTTAGAATTTGACTACATTGGTATAAAGCTGGTTGAATCGAACTAAGAAAAACACATGTATTGGTAATTAAAATTGGTCAGATAATTTTAGAAATTAAGTAATAATTCAACTCACTTAGAACACGAAAATACGTCAATGAAAGGCAAAGAACATATTTAAACAAACAAATATCAAAGAGAAGATATATTCGAATTTAAGCTTAGTGAACAATAGCAGTTTTCCTCGTATGAAAAACATTAATTTTTTTTCACAAAGTTATTAATACTTCTTATTTGAGAAAGAATAGACAAGTTTGAATCAGCATTGTACTTGTTAGCATATTAAAACAATAAAGAATGATAAGAGAACTACTGTAGAGATCATAACAATAATCCACATTCTTCTTATACAAAGGAACAACAATATATGATAATATACTACTTGGTGAAAATTAAATCAAATAATATTAATAATACTACTTGGTTTCTTAGAAGAAATACAATGTATTTTTAAATAGATATAAAAAACGACGAGCAATAATAGATTTCATTTGATCCACATATCATGTTGAAGTTAAATAATTGTTTCTAGTACAAGTAGATATTATCCTGAATATTTGTTGAAATATTAATTCTAATTATGATGAAATAATTTGGGTTAAAGATCAAGGAAATGATAGTAGCAACGACAATGATGATGATAGATGCGTCAGTCGATGTTCTTTTGACGACGACAGTAGACAGTAGTTTGAAACTTCTTATCTTGCTGACCTACAAGGCCTCATTTTCATATGTCAAGCAAAAGGACAAAAGAATGTTGATCGGAGGAAAATTTCTTGTAAAAAATCTTCAATGATAGCTTTTATTAGGCTATTATATATATAGAAAAAAAAATGTCGAATTCCTGATGAAAATCGTATATCGTAAATAATAAAGTAATACAATAATTCTTTTATATGATTTACAAAAAAATGTGTTAACAGACTATGAAAAATATTAATGTGAAATCATAATATGATGTTACACATTGAGTATTTGTTCAGGTTATTATAGCAGTATGTTGTTGCTTCTGTTTTATACGACTTACATTTATTAAGCAAATGCATTTGTATCAAACTAGTAGTTCTAATGTATGATACATTCACTACTCTTTAATCTACTACGTAACTTGACGGGTTTCACGGATATTGCGAATGACAAGATTCATATCATTTATCTCTCTTGTTCAAGCATTACATCCTTCAAGTGATGAAAAAAAGGCCAGTATAATGAAGGTGCATGGACAATGAAAGAAGTTTATTTACAAGACACTATAAGAATGGGTTTCATATAAACATTTAAAAAACGTGGATGGCCAACATGATAAAAATTCTCAACTCTATATGATAGATAATTTGATTGGAATATAGTTCGGAGAAATAAAAAGAAACCATTCAAGAACAAATTATATATGTATGTAGACAAAAGAATATAAGACACAAAACTCTTTATATACTTGAATTTAAGATATAAATAAATTCTTCAACTATTATACTTCAAAAATTTAGAAGTAGAAATATAAGAATGCAATTTCAACGGATACTTTTTTTTTTTTTAAAACATCACTTTCTTTTGTTTTTGTGAATAGATTAGATTTCTTCGTTGAAGTGTATTAATTAATGAATTCATTGATTTATCGTTGATTGGTATAAAGATTAAAAGATACAATTATACGAGAAGATTATTTCATTTACTTGATACAAGAAAAAAAAAACGCTTACTCAGTACATTCACTAGCGATGGTTTCTACAGTGAATAAATTAACTAATATCATAGTCTTCATTACATACATATGACCAATAAATAAAAGTCAAATATAGAGATCAACAGAATAGATAAAGATTATAGAGTTAAAAAAAGAAATTATCCTTGTCTAAACTAGTGTCGTACACTAAATATTTTGCCGGGTGTGAACAAACACTAAATAAATATATTATATCAAGACTAAGATCTTTTTAATAATGTAGGTTCGATAGAGAAGTGTTTTGGCTTTCGAATTACATAATATTTTGATTAGTCAAAAATATTATTTCTTTTATTCAATTGAGAAAACATTCGAACAAAACAGGTCCAATACGGATACACTCGGATCGAGCATATTTAAGGATTTTTTTCTTATTGTATCCATCAATAAAATAACTTTCTTAAAGAAAAATAGGTCATTCGAAAGCTAAAACATTTCTCTATTGAACTCAAATTATAAAAAGAAAAAGATCCTAGTCTTGATGCAAAGTTTTTATTTCGTGCTTATTCACTCCCGACAAAATACTCAATGCAGGAAACTAGTCTAAACAATTCTATTCACAAAATTTCTAATCATCAATTTATTTGTAATTATAAAAACTTATCTGATGAATCTTATATATCAATTAAATTCACTGTCAAAGTTTGACTAATGAATACAACTAATCAATAAATACATTGGTTTGATTAAAAAAAAAAAGCAGCAATCAGTCCCCAATCTCTGATTTTTTACACGATATAGGGGGGTTATTTGTATCTTAACATTATAACAATGTTAGGAAAAAAAACTTTCAAAAAATCAGTTAATACCAATCTTTAACGTCGTTTTCTTTCAAAAAATGATTTATATTCTGAAACTATGATCTCTTACCAAACAAAATTATAAAACATTTTTATTCAAGGCTAATACTTATATTTCATATGTAATATAATACTTTCTGAATAACACAACTCAGTAATATTTGTGTATAGAACAAAAATACAAGAAATAAATAAAAACAATGCATGTTACAATCTATTCTTATTACTAACTAATATATATTTATGAGAAATATATTATTTAATCCTATTCAATGTACTTTAATATAATATTGTTTTGTTTTCTATTGTTTTGAACAAAAGAACAAATTATCTTAGAATATTATATTAGAAGATTTTATTATGGTCATCAATCTTTTTACGTATTGTTTTCTTTTTCGTCAAATATTTTAATTTGAGTTAAAGGCTTTGTCAAGTACATCTTTTTGATGTTGTATATCATAATATGATGATGATATGCCCTTGGAATGCTAAGAGTGCCTTTTTTTCTCATCGATAACTAACAAACGTCCTTGCCAAGATGTAAAGCTTAGTGAATGTGTTATTCCTTTTTTCTTCCTGTGTTGCACAAGAAACAATGTGCTAATTCTTTATTGAATCACTTATAGAAAAGTGACAAAGCAACATTAAAAAAAAATTGTCGACTTTATGTGTACCTTTTTTTTTATGGCTAACTAAGAATAATTTAGTGTGATCGTTTAGAAAATAGAACGACATGATCATATATATGAGGAAAATTCATTTTGTTTGCTATAGGAGAAAGAGAGAGCGAGAGCGCGCGCTAACTTGCTTTTTTCTCTTCGCATCGATCAACTAAAGAAACAGAGAGAAAAGAAAAAAATGTAGCCAATATATTTCTCTTTCAGCATTAAAAGAAATATAAATACATCACATTGCATCGAGGTGTATTTTATAAAGTGCATATTGAAACGTTCTAAATAGTTTTTATTTTATTCTATATCAAATATGACTTCGTAAGTTAAATCATATATATGAAAGAAAAACAAAAACAAAATATAAACATTTTTATTCTATTACAGTTTTTCATCATTAACAACAATGTTTCAAACATCAAATATCGTTTGTCAAGATGTTTATTTAACTGATGATTTTAAAATTGGTCTTGAATATGATAATCATCGTGGTTTACTAAATATTTTACTGAAAAATAAGGATAATAATATTGAATTACCATCACATATTAATATTCTATCAAATCAAGATCAAGAATATGAATTAACATTGAAAAATAAAAATGAATATTTTCTTAGTTCAACTCGATTACAACAAGGTTCGTATATATATATACTCATATATAGTTATATATTTTTGATTGTTATCTTTTTGATTTGTTTTTAATTATAATAATAGATCTTGAAAATGAGATAACAAATATAACCTATAGGGAAGAGAATGAGCCAAAGATTTGTATCGAATTATCAAATATCTATGTATATGATTTATTCGATGAAAATGAAAATGATCATGATCTTTGTCAAACAATGATTACATCATCACCATTATTACTTTCTTCGTCATTATCATCATCATCATCTTGTTTCGATGAACCGACAATAGATAATGATGATGGATATTCAACACATTCACTTGATGATATTGAACAACATCAACAACAATCAATATCAATGCTTCCATCTAAAGAAATCATACCGTTCAAATCTTATCAATTTCCTTATTACATTGAAGAATATGTCTCGTCTATATGTCGACTAATTGAACAACTTATCTGGTTAAGTCCATTTAAAAAGATTGTAAAACAAATGATGAATAATCATTTGTTTGATTAACTAATCTGATACATCTTCATTAAAAACTTAGGTGTATCTTTATACGAGTGTTTTTGTGTTTCTGTGTGCCTGTTTGCATGTGCATTTAACTTCAGAAATGTTATTCGTTGGAGTTTAAAGTACCAGGAAAAAAAACGTAAAAGTCATTTTAAAAAAATGTGACTCATCATCATATTTTCGTTGATTGGTAGCCAATACCGCAAGGTAAAAGTGGCGAGAGAAGCTATAATCCCGTTTATGTCTCTCAAATGCATACATAAAAGAGAGAAAGGGAAGAAAGGTGCAACTACTACTATATATTTCTTTCTTTTCACCTTTGTTTTTTTTTCTTTGAAGATTTTGTCGATTGACTTGCATGCGCTTATATTGTATATCCCCGGTGAAGTATTGTGTATGTCATTGTTTTTATTCATTTGCACATTTTCTTTCTATTGAAAGTGATGAATAAAATTGCATATTCATATGTTGATGAACATTTAATTTCTCCATCATTAATCTGTCCTATATGTCTCGAGATCCTTGAAGAACCTCATACACATACGATGTGTGATAGCGCATTTTGTCGTTCATGTCTATTACAATTAGCTGAACCATTTTGTCCAATATGTCGATGGACATGGGATGATACAATTCCTCTTCAAGATAATATTTATTTGCCAAAAGCTAATCGACTAATACGAAACATGCTTGATGATTTACTTGTGCAATGTATTTACTGTCAAACAATCCGTCGTCGAGGACAATTCGAGCATGAATGTCAATCGACTGAAGAACGATTGGTTAGAAATGATATTCAAATCACACCAAGAAAAAACTTCGTTCATTTTGAAATGGTTTTAAATATTTTAGGAATAGTTTTATGTCTTCTATGCATGTATTATAATCGAAAATATGTTTTTGAAAAAGTTATTGATCCTCGTAGTGAAATAATCAAAGATATTGGCTATAATATCGATTATTTTTTATTAGAAACAATATATTATTTAATCAGAAAAATAGTTGAATACTCAATGGCAATTATTATAATTAATGTTTGCTTTTGGTTTAGTGTAATTTTTTTTGGAGACCGTATCGCATCTAAAAACAATAGTCAAATATTAAAAACTTTTCTTGAAATATTAATTATTATTAATCTTATTACTTATTCAGTTTCTAATTAGAAGGTTTATTGTATTTATTTATTTATTTTTCATGTTTAATAAAATATAGATAATACATAGAAATAAATTCGAGTAGGATTCTTTTTTTAATCAAGACGAATTGCATCAATGAAATCTTGTTGAGCTTGTTTAGCACTTTGAAGAAGATGTTTTAGATCCTGATTACTATTAATAAGTATTTGTTGAATAGTATTATCTTTAAATGAAGTCTTTTTAGATTTGTCATCTTGTATAATACTCATGAAATCATTTGTTTGAATAGGTAAACTAGGTTTACTAACGAGAATAGATTTTAAATCAAATCCATCATCATGTGGAATCATTGATGCTGCACCATATCGAATTGGTAATTGATTTGTATTTGTTAATGATGAAGAATTTTCATTAGATATTGGTTGATCAATTTTCACGGGTATTTGTTCTTCTTTTTCGATAATAGTTACATGTTGAATTGGATTTGAACTTATCGGCGATGGAGATTTGTTTTTACATGGTATTGTTTTGAAAACATTTCCTTCTAAAATAAAAACATTTTACATTTTTGTTTGTTCGTCATGTTTCAATTGAAATGACTTTTATGATAAGAGATAACAAATTTCTTTATTGTATTGATGTGAAATATTTTTGCTAGCGTTTTCTCTTAGCTTTTTATATGAAAAAGAAAAAGAAAACGAAAAGAAATTCAAATTTTATTTACCAATAAATTCAAATTGTTCTTGATTTTTTATCGGCGATATCTGATTTAAAATTTCAAAATTATCGGCAGCATCATAATCAGTTTGTCGTGACATTGTGTATCGTAAAAAATATAAAATAAAATGTATGTTAATAATTTCTTAGTGATTGCATAAGAAAAAAATACACAAAAATGTTTTTTCCTTCGTGATAATGACGCAGAGAATTTTTTTTTCTTTCTGTTCTCTATTTCAAGCGTTAAGCGACAGAACGAAAGATTAAAAAAAAGACGATAGCAGCGAGTAGTTTCGATCTACCGACCTCTGAGTTATGAGCCCAGCACGCTTCCACTGCGCCACGCTGCTGTATTTCTTTACAAGATATTTTATTAAGTTAAGATGATCGAGTAATTAAGCAAGATTTTTAATATTGCATGAAATTGTTTTATTTTAATTTTTTCTTTGTCCAGAAGTATTTATTTCTTATGCAAAATTAATTCAAAATTTAAAATCATAATATTTTTCAAAATAAAAGAAAATATTTTCATTTGATGAAAAACCCATGATTCAAAAAATAGCGAGAACAATATTAAATGAATAATAAATGATTCATCCAAACTTAGTTTACACGCAGAGAAAATGTTGGGACATACTGCATATTATTTACGTTAGTGTGTTCTATGGTAGAAAAAGCTTTATTTCGTAAATCAAATATATTTTATATTTGATAGATTACATATAGAAGGTCAGCAAATGTTAGTACTTACTGCTCATCAATAGTAACAAATGTATTTTCTACAAATGTTTGAATCTATGATTAATCGTACAAAGCGTTAATTTCAATCACAGTATTTCTAATAAGGAGATCGACCATAAAGAAGTAGAGGGCTTGTAGATCAGATCTTTCAAAAAAGACCATGAGCTCATATTGGAACTAGAATGACAAGAGAAATCTCCCAAGTGATTAATTGCTGTTGAGTCGAGACTCTATACTTCATGTAGATCCTAATAAGTCATGAGTACACTGAAAAGAGTTTGAGTTTTTAACTTAAAACTGTCGGGATACTGCATTTTTACCGTATTTTCTGATGGGTTTACCGAGACTAATTAGTTTATTATGAAAGTTTCAGATCGTTTCGTTGTTTCTATCCTGAGATACAACTATGATAAAAGCTTTTCTTTTAGACAAAGGAGAAAAAGTAAGGCTTCAATACTCCAAAGTACAAATGAAGCATCGTGCTTCATTTGTATTTTGGAGTACTGAAGTGTTGCTCTCTCCCCTTGCTTTACACTGCTCATATATACGGATGGATTTGACGTTCTCGTTTCAGGAAAGGAGAAAATCAAAAGACCGGAAATTTTTGTAATAAATTATTCTGGTGAATAGTAATGATTACCGGTCGGCCTTGTACCAGTACAGATATCAGACCGATCGTTATCGGTATATCTGGTTAAGTTTTGTTTGTCTTAGTATCTCATAGGGAATGGATAATGATACTTTGTTGAAAGTTGATCATGTCAAATATCACTATCCATAAATGGAATAGTACGACAACTCGCCAGTTCAGTGTCAGTATGGATTTCAGATCGACCGGTTCCACCTCTACTGAGAGGGACTATGGTGTTAACTTGAAAAGAACCGTAAAAATGCAGCATTTTAGCAGTAATATGCCAAGCATCCGAACTCTTTTTAGGGCATTCATGCATCATTAGGATCTACATAATATACAAGGATCGAACTTCAAAGCATTTAATTTGTTGAAGAACTCTTCTCGTGAGATTTTGAAATGTTACTGAAATTTTGTTCCGATCAATCATTCAACTAGATTCACTTGAATAAAAAAATTTNGATTTCAGATCGACCGGTTCCATCTCTACTGAGAGGGACTATGGTGTTAACTTGAAAAGAACCGTAAAAATGCAGCATTTTAACAGTAATATGCCAAGCATCCGAACTCTTTTTAGGATATATATGCATCATTAGGATCTACATAATATACAAAGATCGAACTTCAAAGCATTTAATTTGTTGAAGAACTCTTCTCGTGAGATTTTGAAATGTTACTGAAATTTTGTTCCGATCAATCATTCAACTAGATTCACTTGAATAAAAAAATTTCAAAATTTACGCGTGTAGCATTAGTTAGATTTGCAGTTTTCAAAATATTCATGTTTTATAGAATATCAATGATCATGTGCTCGTATTATGAGATATCACATCCGAAAATTCCGAATTTGTTTTATTGAAATAAATCCAGTTAGGAGTAGATGTAAACAAAGTTTCAGTTTGAAATTCGAAAACCAAATTTTGCTGAAAATAAAAATTCAATATCTTAGGCAAATACTAGTATAAGCTCATGTCTTCTTAGGATTTTTCTGGTCTATAGGATTATTACTTCTGTGCAAAATATGGAATGAAAAACTTTGAATTATTTTAAATGGTTTCATTGTTAGTAGATGTCATATATTTTTCTGGACTTGAACACTTCTTTATTCAATTTATCATATAACATATATAAAATGATATTTTGAATCATAATTTATTACAATGAATTCGTCTGTGTTTGACTTTTATAATTGAAATAATATTTTATATTAAGAAAGAAAAGCACAATCAGGATGACATGTTTTAACACACTCGTTTGAATATTTTTCATTAAAAATTTCACAAAATCCATATGCTTTTTGCATTAAACAATCATCTCGTCTATCAAAACATTTTTCTTCTCTTGAAAGTATTATATTTAGTCTTGAAATTTCTGATGCTATTGTTGAACTTGAAGTTATTGTCATATTTTCAGATATATAATCTTGTTCGTCTATCGATTTCAAATGATTATCATCATTGGTTTCAACTAATGAACGTTTATCATTTGATTTTTCTGCTGGAATGCATTGATTACACGAACGTTGACATGCTTCTGGCACTGGAAGCCAAGTATTATTAATAAGTATTGTATAACGATCATGACAATATTCGCTATGATTTTGATAGACTGAACAAAAGCTACTTTTGTCATAACAAGAAATACCTATAAAACATAAATCTATATGACTTTTTGTCAAATCTATAATGAACATACATCGATATTGATTTTCTATTTGTTCACATCGTTCAGATGGTAAACATGAATTATTTGTACAAGCATCTGCATACTAAAAATAATATCATAATCAACAAGAAAAAAAAAATCGTTAAAAAAAAGATTTCAAATGAAATCGTACTTGACAACGATCACCAACTTTTCCTGTCTGACATACGCATACAATACTATTTTGAGTTGCTGTACATAAACCACCATTACATGATGTTGATGAACAAAGTGTTGCTAAAAAATGAAAGAAAAAAAGAAATGACTATATTATTCAAATCTGTTTTACATTCATACTACCTTCACAATAAACTCCTGTATATCCTTGAAGACAAAAACATTGTGTAAATACACTACCATTTGTATTATATTGACCAAAACAAGTAGCACCATTTAAACATAGATTTTGATTTATACATGGATTTTCTATAAAAACAACAATTTTTTTTCTATCACTTTTTTCTTGTCTTATTTACCATATTGACATGTTGGTCCAACATATTGTGATGTACATATACATAGACCATTAACACATGAGCCACCATGGTCACATGTTGATATACAACTATTAGGTGTTGATTGCGTATAAATAGAGGTTTCACAATATTGACCAGTAAAGTAACTTGGACAAGTACATGTAAATGAAACACTTGTTGAATTATAATTAGCTGAACAAAAACCACTATTTCGACATATTGGTTTATAACATGGATTATCTAATGAACATAAATATTAATTAGAAATTTTTTTTAATCAAGAAAAACCATTTACCAAATCCACAAAATGTTCCAGTATATTGAGCTGGACAAACGCATACTCCGTTAACACATGGACTTCTAGAAGCAGTTTTATAGATATAATATTTTAAAAAGTTGTTAGTGAAATTCCTACTAGATTGAAATGTCAAGCACGATGGAGTTGCTGTTTCTATGTTATCTATTTTGGAATACATTTTTTTACTGATTCTTTTACTCAATCCTCAAGAAATATCATAAGCAAGTGACTCATATATTGTAACGAGGCGTTATTGATAGATGGACTATCATCACGTCTGGAGGTGAGACACAGTGTGTATTATCTAGACGAGCATTTGACTAGAAATGAAAATCGCGCTTTTTCCAGATTTAAATATAGGGGAAATAGACTTCGAAGTATAATCTATCTAATGGTATAAATAACTTTGTTACAACTCTCAAAGAAACTGGATAGCCAATTGTTTAAAAATTAGTCTGAAAACTATCATGTCAACAGGAAAATTCATTTTTGACAAAATAAAACTATTCGAGAGACAAATCAAGTATATTTTCTCAATATCCAGGCGAGCTCTATACAATGATAAAAATATTGCTTTGTAGTGTCGTCCGAACAGCTAGTTCCGTAAAATGAGCAATACAACCTGCAAACTTTTCTAAACTTTACCAAAATGTTCTTCTGTCTACTGTCTCTAATCTCTGTTAGTACAAACATTGCTAGACTGCACAGTGGGTGTTCGTCGTCTCAGATATTTTTCGTCGAAAAACTCTTTTTTTACTTCATATCCAATCATTTCTGAATAAATAAATCTGTTTGTGAGCAAGAAATTCACATGTTGGTATGCCATACGAAAAATGCCCCCTGTGAAGACGGGAGGGGAGGGGACGCTCCTGATTTCTATCCTTACACTTCAATACTCATTTTAGCTTGTGTTTCACAAAAGAAAACAAGAATATACCCATTCATACACAATCCACCACATGGATTAAGTAATGAGGTTTCACATTTTGTTCCCGTATATGTTCCCACACAAAGACAAATAAACCAAGTATTGGTTGTATTCCAATAACTTTGACAGATAGCTTGATTTAGGCATGGAGATGATAAACACGGATTAACTATAAATGTCAAATAGAAAAACAAAAGGATTAAATAATCTCGAAACACAGTTTTTTTTCTAGGTTACTTCTTTCACATTGATCACCAATATAATTAGATTGACATATACATGAATACGTTGTGTTTGATATTGATAATGCGCAATAACCATGTGTTTGACATGGATTACTTGCACATGGATTATTTTCTTGTGTCATATTACAATATGAACCTGTAAAGCCTTCACGACAAAGACATAAAGCTATTGGTGGATCTGTATTTGATGATACACATGTGCCACCATAAAAACAATAAGATGATGACGATAGAGTACA